GTTGAGGGGGTAAGGGTTAGGGTTTAGGGGTTAGGGGTTAGTGATTAGGATTTAGGGAATATAGATTAGGGTTTAGGGGTTAAGGGTTAGAGAATAGGGTTTAGAGATTATGGTTTAAGGGTTATGGGTTAGTTGTTAGGGGTTACGGGTTAGGGGTTAGGATTTAGAGGATAGAGATGAGGGTTTAAGGGTTAGGGTTTGGGTTTTATGGCTTATGGGGTTAGGTGTTAGAGGTTAGGATTAAGGGGATAGAGATTAGGGGTTAGGGGTTAGGGGCCAGGGTTTGGGGGTTAGGGGTTAGGGTTTAGGGGATAGAGATTAGGGGTTAGGGTTTGGGGGTTAGGGCTTAGGGGTTGAGTTTAGGGGTTCGGGGTAAGGGATTTAGGGGTTAGGGGTTGTTACAGGTTAGGAGTTAGGGGATAGGGTTTAGGGTTTAGGGTTTAGGGGATAAGGGTTAGGATTTAGGGGATAGAGATTAGGGTTTAGGAGTTAAGGTTAGGGTTAGGGTTAGAGGGTTAGGGGTTAGGGTAAGGGTTAGGGTTATGGGTAGGGTTAGGGTTCGGGTTATGAGTAGGGTTAGAGGGTTAGGGGTTAGGGGTTAGTGTAAGGGTTAAAGTTAGGGTTGGGGTATGGGATAGGGTTTGGGGTTATGTTTAGGGGCTAGGTGTTAATGGTTAGGGGGTAGAGAGGAGGGGTTAGTGTTATGATTAGGGTTAGATCTAGAGTGTAGGGCTGGGGTAAAGGCCAGGGTTTGGGATTTTGTTAAGGGGGTTAGGGTTAGGGTTAGGATTGGAGTTCGGGTTACGATTGAGATAAGGGTCGAGGTTAGGGTTGGGGTTGGGGTTGGGGTTGGGGATCGGTTTAGGGATAGGGTTAGGGAAATGTTGTTTCTTTCACGTGAATAGATTATAGAAAAGCAAACAGCAACAAAAATATATTCCTTGATACAGATAAGAGTCTGTAGTGGACACCCCCCTTTCCATCTTCCTCTTTCTTTTGAAAGATAATCAGCAAAAAACAATACAAAAAAAAGAAAAACACAACTAATACTTACCGAATGAAAACCATGGTCACTTGCAATATTCCAGTATATATCTTATCTTTCAGAATCACAAAAACAAAGCGGAAATATTCCAGTAAAGATCTTATCTTTTAGAATCACAAACAAGGCAGAAATATTCCAGTAAAGTAAATATCTTATCTTTCAGAATCACACAATAGGGAGATGTTCTAGTAAAATAAAGATCTTATCTTTCAGAATCACAAACAAGTCGGACATATTCCAGTAAAAAAAAGATCTTATCTTTCAGAATCACACAATAGGGGCAATGTTCTAGAATCTAGTAAAAATCTTATCTTTCAAGATCACAAACAAGGCGGAGAATTTTCTGTAAAAACCTTATCTTTCAGAAACACATTCACACACAAGGCAAAAATGTTAAAGTAAAGATCTTATCTTTCAGAATCTCAAACAAGGGGGAAATATTCCAGTAAAATAACGATCGTATCATTCAGAATCACACAATAGAGGAAATGTTCTAGTAACGATCTTATCTTTCTGAATTACAAACAAGGCGGAAATTTCCCAGTAAAAATCGTATCTTTCATATACACACATAAGGAGGCAGAAACGTTCCAGTAGAGTTCCTATCTTTCAGAATCACATACAACGCGAAAAGATGAGTGGTTGACGGGTGCTCTGGTGTGGTTTGCTCCTTCTTTCCTATCAAACATATTTCATCTATGTCTTTCCTCCTTCTTGTTTGTAAATTGTGTTTGTTACTCTCTTGTCTTGTAACACCTCGAACCTTCTGCTGCACTTACGTGACTTAATTGTAATGGAAAGTACTAGAAAATTGTTTACAAAAAACGAAGTCAAGGCGGAAATCCCCCGGCACAGGTCTGATTTTTCAGAGACACACACGCGAGAGAAACATTCACTTTTTCCAAACACACACACAGAAAGAAAGAAAAGAAATTCACTCCATTCATCAGCACTCCCTGCGCTGTGCTGGTAGGTGGTTGGTTGGTTGGTGGGTGGTTGGCGGGTGGTCTTGTTTGGTTTGCTCCTTTTCTCCTATCAAATAGAAGAAGTTTTGTTTGGGGTTTTTTTCTCTCCTCTTTCTTGCCCTTGTACTTTACTGTTTAGAAATAGGGTTTCGTCTATATTATATCATGACCTCTTTGCACTGATAGTGCCGTAAAACTCTTCCTAAAACTAAACAAAACTAGACGACTGGGCTATACACATCACGACTAGACTGGGTTTTTTTTTTTTGTGTATAAGAACAATATCAGCTACTCCCTCCATCGTGGGTCGTCCTGAACAGGTTGGGTATCTGTGTGTGTCGTCATAGGCAGGTCGGATCTTAGGTCGGGTAGACCAACGAGGCAGGCTGTGGTGAGCCTAGAGCTGGGGACATTGAGGTCTCGATCAAACTTGACAACGGTTTAATAGTCCCAAAGTTCTCTCTCTCTCTCTCTCTCTCTCTCTCTCTCTCTCTCTC